GAAGGACTTAGAACATCATGATGGAAGTATTTGATGACCATTCCCATGCTCATATAATTTTGGGGTTGACACTATCTTTTGCACAGTTTTGGTGCTAAATTTAAGCATTTTTTTATCACTTCATAAGTGATAAAAATGTTCAAATAAATACATCCAAACTACCCCGTTAAAACACCAAGACCTTGAGGAACACCACAGTAAATTCCATGCAGTGATTCAGTATCACAAACTTTTGACATTTGGATATTTGTATGAAAATTAGCTTTTTCTGCGATTGGATGGCAAGCACTTCTGTTCTGGAAACTGCTGAGAAACCTCATTGATGTCAGTTTACCTATGAAAGCCACAAATCTTCTGAATGCTTGGGGTCTCTAGTTTGTGAAGGTTCATGAGTTTGTGATTATTCTAGAGATCACTATAGGCCATTTTATACAGTTAGGTCTGTTTCAAAGAAATGGTCTCACTACACACATATTAATAAAATTGGTCTCTCTGAATCCACAAAAGTTTCAGGCTTTCCAGTCATACCCAATGTGTGCATTTCCAAGAATGTTTAGGGACCCCAGTATGCAGAAATATTCAAATATGGTAGGCCTGGGCGGAAATAACACATTTCTACTGCATGCAAAAACACTGCATGGGGCATGTTTGTAAAGAGGAGGTGGTTAGAGGTGCAAATGGCCATGCTGTTTTTCCCTCACCAAAATTTAGCCCAACTTTGGTGTGTTCTTTAGCCCCCTTCCTGAGAAGCTAGCATGATGTCCTTGGTGATATGGCTGGATTCTCCAGGTCATGGAAGGTATACACAGGTATATGGAGTACACCATTTACAGTATACCCACCTATAAGCCAAAAAGCCCTTGGAATATATAGGAGAGAACACCCACTTCCTCCTCGGTAACCTACCCATCTACTAGCAGCACGTCCACCTCATCAACTACCACTACACCACTGGATATCAGTATTATCACTACCTTTTAAATTCAGTCTGCTCCAGCCTCCTAAAGACAGGAAGTTGGCCAGGATTGGCGAAGGCCCAGCAGGTCTCAGAGGGTTAACAGCTTTTACTGTTGTTACCTTGGACAGAAAACAGTTTCAAATGAACATGTAAACACTAAGGGGATTATTCAAAATGAACAGGGTAAGACATGTGCGAGCAAAGTAGTCCCTTACTCCAATTCAATGACAGCTTATAGATAAAAATGCGTGAACAAGAAATTTGAAACAGAATTTTTTGTCTGAATCTATAAAAGCCAAGAGGAAACTGATGGAAAATCTGGAGACCATATAGCATTTTGTGATGCACTGTAAAACAAATGCTAGGAATGTTCTTTGAGTTCAGTTGTTCCAAAATAGTTGAAGAAACTAATTCCATGAATGAATCAACCATTTGCCTGCTCTTTAGCTAAGAGATGATATGCACCATAATACCATCTGTTCTTAACTGTTATTTCAGAATAAATGAGGCTTCACTGGGTATTCTGATGTATACTTTTCCATTTTAAATGAGGTGGATCACACGCTTTTACTTTGAAAAGGAAGCTACAAAACAGAAGTGCTTTTATGTGCCTACTTGACACAAATATATTTACTTCCGTTATGGATGTCTTCTTCTTGTTCTTTAGGTGTAAACCAAAAGCATTGTGCGCTCATTGCTGCCCTCCGTGAATAAATTGCAGACACTGCAGCCTTGTCAATAATAAAAAACTCATTACACCAACACAGGATCATATGACTAAACCTCTGCCATGTCCCAGCATCTGTAGGCCTACTATGCTAATGCATTTTAAAGATAAACTGTTACACTCTAGTGATACTTACTGTAAGTTTTAATTGTATCCTTTGTGTTTTTTTTTTGACTGTTACCACGCAGAGTGACACTAAAAATTATTTTCCAAACAATTTTGCACTGTTAGGAGACATGACTAAGCAGAGGACATAGTATTAGTACAGTATACATACCTTTAACTCTTCTTTCCTAATAGCAAACAAGCGTCATGTCTGGAATCAAGTAACTACTTCACAGCAGTGCATGCACACCGCGTCAAGCAACAGCGGTGACACACCTAAGTATTATCTGATTGTGTAGTACTGCTTAGAATCAGTTGTATCTGTTGCAGTGGGCATGTCTAATCTTGAGGCCTTGACATGTAGCAATGCAGCAAGATCTCAGACAAAGGTAATGAGCAGTATGCCTGTGGAAACTGTGTTGTACTTTGTTAGGTACAACCGTTCAACTGCTTGTGAATGCAAATGCTAATCAGCCACTCACGTGACACCAACTCAGTGCATTTAGGCATGTAGACATGGTCAAGACGACCTGCTGAAGTTCAAACCGAACATCAGAATGGAGAAGAAAGGTGATTTAAGTGACTTTGAGCATGGCATGGTTGTTGGTGCCAGACTGGCTGGTCTGAGTATTTCAGAAACTGCTGATCTACTGGGATTTTAACATAAAACCATCTCTAGGGTTTACAGAGGACGGTCCCAAACAGAGACAACAGCATTTCTCTGGGTGAAAATACCTTGTTGATGCCAGAGGTCAGAGGAGAATGGCCAGACTGGTTGATGATAGAAAGGCAACAGTAACTCAAATAACAACTCGTTACAACCAAGGTCTGCAGAAGACCATCTCTGAACCAACATGTTGAACCTTGAAGCAGATGGGCTACAGCAGCAGAAGACCACACCAGGTGCCACTCCTGTCAGCTAACAGCAGGAAACTGAGGCTACAATTCGAACAGGCTCAGCAACATTGCACAACAGAAGATTGAAAAAATGTTGTGTACCCATCTTCTGATGGCTACTTCCAGCAGGATAACGCACCATGTCACAAAGCTCAGATCATCTCAAACTGGTTTCTTGAACATGACAATGAGTTCACTGTATTCCAATGGCCTCCACAGTCACCAGATCTCAATCCAATGGAGCACCTTTGGGATGTGGTGGAACAGGAGATTCGCATCATGAATGTGCAGCCGACAAATCTGCGCCGTGTGACGCTATCATGTCAATATGGACCAAAATCTCTGAGGAATGTTTCCAGCTTTTTGTTGAATCTATGACACCAAGAATTTGAACCAAGTCTTTGATCTTCATCAAATTATTTTCCTCAACATCAAAATTACACAAGATGAAACTCAGCACAGAAAAAAACAAGCCTTGCACATGATATTCAAAAATGATTTTAATATACACTTTTTTACATAAATCAAAAACATCTGCAGAGTTGCATTATAGCTCTTCGTCATATGTTTTGTTAATATACCACCTCTACTTTAGTCTGAACATCAACCATGCACTATTTTCATTTAAATCATGGCTTGTGTTATGGAGGTCACGTGTGTCCAAAGCTGGGTTGAGTTGAAAAACTGAATGCATATTTGAAGTAAACAAAATGGCAGCTTAAATAACTACCAGAAATATGAGGTGTACACAAAAAGATGTAACAATTTTTACAGTATAATTATGTGTAATTATTTCACATCTGGAATGAAGTTATGATGAACGCTGTGCGATGCAATAGTGTATTTAGTGATGAGCACAGAAATCCTCCATGAGCCACAGAAGTACCCACTGTTCCCATTATTCCATTAACTGCACAACCACTGGGACTGTTTATCACTCAGTGAAAGATGCAATGCAGACTTCCCAGAGAACATAAAGTATTTAAAATTCCAAACATCTTTTTGGCAGATATCCTCATCTCTCAGCATCAACAAAAACTCAAGCAGATGGAGCTGTGTACTTTCTATTCACAGACTTCTGGCCTTCAGGCAAACATTTCGATGCAACACCAAATTCCTCAGTAAACAATGTTTCAATCAATGTGGGTTTTAAGCAATGGGGTTCACCTTGGAACTGACAGTGAGTATTAATTAAAATGCAAACAGCCAGCACCATTTTTTTTTATATTTTATGAGCTCATGTGAAACAACCAAATATTAAAATTGAATCGGGTTTGGCCTTTATTAGTGAATAAAATATTCAGTCATGCAGATGAGTCGTTTTGAACCCAAACACCTCCAGAGAATGAAATGAAAATGAAGGAGCAGGCTGACTGTGGCGATGACTTTTTGAAATTTGTGTAGACATATGATCTTGTGCTTTAAAACTTTGAATAATTTACAACTGGTTATTAAACCGGATTCTGAATTACATGGATCTGCAAATTTAGGCTCCCTTGCAGTCCAACTCATCACATTATAAAGTCTTGGCTCAGGTAAATACATGTAAATTAAAGGCTATACTTAAAATATATATGTGTGACATTTAAACAATTTCTGTATCAACTAAAGGGCCCGTGTATTTAACTGCAAGCAAGAGGTGGAAGAGACACCAAGTATCTGATGGTGAGCTCGTGCCAAACTTTGACGACTGGGGAATTATGACTTTATTCTCGTAATATAACGATTTTTTTCTCACTTTATCTCAAAATATGAGAGAACACTTCAGTTTTTATGGTGCAGAAAGTTTTGAATATGAGCAGATATCCTGCTAAAACACATGAGCAATGATGTGTATAGGTGGCACATACACATTTAGACAGTTAGATGCACAAGCGTAAATCCTGCCTACGTGTGTGTTGACTCAGCCGGGATAACTGTAAATAAGAAGAGTTGATTTACAGCAGAATAAATATTTGAATGCAACACAGACTGCCTGAGAGCCTCACTGCATTATATTCCAGTATACTGTGAAAGGTAATGTGGCGCCTGATATTTTTTTGTTTGTTTAAATTGATGCAGAAAAGGCACATATTGGTGCATACAAATTCACCAGAATGCAGGAAATAAAAGTGTCTGATGCTCTAATTTTCCTGGGGAAGACCCCCTGCTTAATATGTGTCCCGCTCCAATAATCAAGTTGCTCCCTTTACCACATTATCCATTGCAATTATTATTGTCAAATTTAACAGCACTCTAGTCTGAGATCTGGAGAAAAAGAAAACCTCAATTGCATTTAAAACGTGATGACGACATGAAAAAAAAACAACAAAAAAAACCAAAACATTTTAATTAACTGGTTAAAAGTGGTGACTTTCCACCTCTCTGTTTTACATCATAGACCACAATCTAAATACATCTCTCATTAATAAGGCTACATAATTAAATATATATTATCAGTTCCACCCACTAGAGAAGTACACATTCAGTAATGATCACAAGTTCTTTCTCCTCTTCAATCACAGTCAAAATCAGGAATCACTGAGTCTGTTTTAGTTTCACACTCTGTTGTGAAATAACCAAACTGAGTTCAGTCAGTACAAACCTACAGGTAACTTGGAAAATGAAGAAATTTTATGATCAAAGGATAAAAGGAATGTTGTTGCAGCCAAAGCGAAATCCTTTTTATTTTCCAATTATCCAATTTTAGGCTTACTTTGTGATTTAAGTGCTGACCCCATAAGGTTATCTATCACCATCCATATCTTGCAGAGCAGGTTAATGTAAACCTGTACAACGCAAATGAACAACTTGACAGAATGATTCAATCATTTAGATGGCTTTCTTATTATTAGAGTTTAGCAAGTACTATTAGGGTTTCATTAGGACTTTGAAATACTTGTATTAGTACACTTCATTTATTTCACTGGTTACCTGTATTCATACAATCCCAGCCAGTAAATGTGCTTTTGTGCAGCACCACACTTAACAATCATGATGCCCTGCTTTGGACAGATCACAGGCTTTTAAATCCTCCAAAGCATATCCCATCTCATTACACAACACCACCACTTCTGAGCTGCCGTAACACCTTTTTAAAAAAATCCTTAAATTACTCAGATAGAACAGCCAAACTGTTCACGTTGAGGTAACCCTAAAAGCCCCTCCTACAGCCTGCTCCCAAGTCAGCCTAGTTGGATGTCTGCTCCCGGTGGGAGCACCGTGGTGAAACGAGGGTCCAGTTTGGGCATGAAGCCTTTAAAGTCCCTGGAGGCCTGAGTCCCGAACACATCTAGCAACTGTCGGTTCATCAGGGCAAACCTATAGAAGAGACAGAAAATAATCTCAGTACCATTATGACAAAAACAACTTTCATTAACAGGTGACATTAACATGGACAGAAACAGTCCAGCTATAGACAATCTAAAAATACAGAGTTGGATTTAACTGATAAAACAATGTTTGACAGCTGACAGAGTCCACACAATTCATTCATACCTGCCCTTTGTTAAACGCAACAGGAACTTCCAGTATGAAGGCCTGAGGTTCTGCACTTCCATCACAGCCTGTGCAACAGTAATGAGTCATCCATTAACTCCTCACTCAGCATTTATGTGAGTATAAAACCAGTGTTTACGGGATACTTACAGCTTGGAAACAGATAGCGGTGGAGATGGCGTATATGACCGTGTCTGCATGAGGAAAGTAAGGGAAGTGACCGGCCTCAATGCCCTTGAAGTACATGGTCTGAAGACAGAGAATATCACATGTGCTGTTAATGATAAACTGTCCAATAAAAAGAAGTTTCAGATAAAGATATTTTCTGTAATAGTTGTACTGGCTATATGCTAATTTAGGAACTACTACTACTCTAGTGTGAATAAAAGCAGCCACAATGCTAGATGAGTAATGTTTATTACGACCTGCTGCTATGTTAAAGTAGTCTCATCTAGCCAGACTTAAGCCCTGTTTCCACTGAACAGTACGGTGCAGTTCAGTACACTTTTTTACCCAATTCCACAGTGAAAAGTTGTGGATGGTACCAATGGAACTGTTCTGTACCGTCGCCTTTTTTGTCAACCTTCTGTTGAAATACCTAGCACACAAATCTGGTGCTACAAAGGTGGAGCTTTGAACACTGCAGTCCGTTCACTGGTCAATACGATCACCTCTCCACATGCAAATGTTCCAACAAAAACAAGTTCCCTCCCACCTTTTTTTTGCAAGAACACTGTGGCTTAGTGCTGCCCAAGAGGTTTAAGATTGGTTTAAAGAAACACAAATAAGTGTTTTTCCCCTCAGTGTGGAAATCTGATGGGCTCAGCCAGACCTTTCTCCAGCACTGGCACAGTCATTAGATAGGTCTGGCTATGCAAGAATATACACAGATTTACACTAACCAGGTGCATACAGAGCATGTAAGAATCTTTTTACATTTTCTTAGTAACCTAAGAAAATCCAAATATCCTTGGGATAAGAGATTAATGTTGGTGTGTATAATTTCTTGACAATGCAATTTTCTTTTTACTGTTATTATAGTAACATCACTTGTTTCTGAGATCTTCCTTTACCTCCACCAGCTTTGAGAAGAGATACATGGATATTGACGTGCTTTTGTAGAAGAACATCGAGATACCAGCCAGGAAGCCTTGAATGACGGGAAAAATACAAAACATGATTGTTAGACAGATTAAATCAGCTGAGACATGATGCAACATCAGCTGAGACAATCCAGAGAAGGACTGCTCTACAAGGATTTTGTTTGACAGAGACATTTCTGTCTCACCGGCTATCAGTGCATGGAGCTCGTCATCAATGTTACGCAGCCAGCGCAGCAAGCAGCTTGTTCCCTGAGTGAGAGGAAAACACATTTAAAAATTAAACAATACTAACATGACCAGACAGGAGATACTGAGATGGGAAAAAAGATTGGAAATGTGAGTGAAAATAATATGAAATATGTGGGGAAAAATTAAAGAAATCAGTGATTACAAATGAATGAGTCTTTAAGGAGGTGGGAGACAGAAATATATGTTGTACAGCTTATATATTCTAAAACTTTGGCACAATGGTTTGTACAATTTTTTGGCCAAATTACAAGAAAGGAAAGAGGCAAGGAACAGTCCCTCAAGGATGTTGTGATCACAACAATTAACACAAATCCAGCCAACCCCTGTGAATTCTTCTAATCACTGCAACTTTACGGCAAATTTGACTTTTTAAAATGAGTGAGATCTAATTTCATTGTAGAGCTGTGTGTAGTGTATTGATTCACTCTGCACCTCCTTGCCCCTCTCCCTCGGTTTATCACGACACTACTGCTGCACCTGGGACAGAGTCACACACACAGTGACGATAGCTGTTAGCATCATACGGCTAACGTTACACATTGATTATTAATGGGTTTAACGTCAGAGTCCATCCTTTTTGGCACTGATGTTAGATTGATGGGACTGTTTAACAGCACAGTGTCAGACATTAGCCGCTGCTGTGCCAGCTCGTGTGTCTACCAGGCAGAGAGAGCAGGAGGAGAGTGGCTCCTGGAGACAGCCCTTCTGTGCCGCATCAAACGGCTTTAACAGCTGACCATCACAGATCACAATCATTAACAGATTCTAATTTTGTGGGAAACACTGAACGCTCATAATAATAGGCTCCAGGTCCGAGACAGCATCACAACTATTTTTGCAATTTTTAGTTGTTCCCACAATTCCATTGCAAAAAAATGTCTAAAAAATCCCAACATGCATTACAATTGTTTTAGAAGAGATGCAGTGAAATCAGGTATTTCAGGCTGCAACAAACCCCTAAACACCCTGTGAAATCCTGGAGGGACTGAAGGAAGGAAAACAAAAATAGTAAAGCAAGAAAAAATAAAAAAAGGAGATGTCAGTGGAAAAAATGTACCTTGTAGATACTGACGAAAGATCCTAGAAAGGCCCCTAACTGGAAGTTCTCCTTGTTGTAGAAGAGGGAGGCGAGTCGTGAGGGTTTGGTAAACATGTGCCTGAACGCTGAAGGCACTTTAAGACAACACTGTATCAGGTAGCCAACACTGAACATCCTGACAAAACCCTAAACCATAAAAGAAAAGAAAAAAGAGTTAATACTGCATTTTTAGTACTTAATAATATATAATTTGAGTATTATAAATCCATCATCATAAAAAAAGTCGTACTTTCACACAGTAGGAAATGCAGTTGTCTTGGTAATGTTTACAACATCTGTGTCTTGGACCCTTCTTGCATCTAGATTATTTAAAGCAAACAAAAAACAAGTTAATTCTGGGCACTCTGTATAAACCTTGGCATCAGTGTAAATGTGTGTTCTCTTACATTGATTCTAGCAGTTCCCTGGTGTAGGCTACTAGAGTTTTCCTCCTGGAGCTGGGCCTTTCTGCTGACGCCTGCGGGTCCTCCGTCTCTATAGCAGCTGTCCTCTCAGGGTGCCTTGTGTAGATGTGCTCTGCCACAAGAGAGTGAGTTGGGATCTCTTCTTTTCCGATGATGAACCTGTGACAGAAAACGCACGCCACCTCTTAACCAGCTTTACCAAAACACTATAAGTTAATCTAAATCACAGCATCAGTGGGAACAGGGGCGGCTTACTTTAATGCTGAGAATGCAAAGCCTTTGAGACCATCTTGACTCCTGCAGCATAAAACACAAACTTTAACTCAAACTCTAACATTCGCTCCTGATCTATTGACCAATGTTTTACATTTTACTGTGAAAATCTGACCTGAAGAAGAACATGTAGAGTGATGCAGTTATGCAAAACAAAAGCACCTAATGGGAAACAGAGACAGAAGGAAGGCATTAGGACAACAGGTGGAACATAAGCATCTAGCTACGAGACTCCGGAGCCATTCTGAACATATAATCAAACCATGTATTACAAATTAAGGTGATGGTGAAGCTATAATATTGGTGCAAGCTGCCTACAGATATGATGGTATACATGTAATCTTCAAGGGACAGAAACTACTATAAAGTTTATTTAAAATCATCTGAGTACTTCCTGTCGTGTGCTACCACATACACATTTATCTGCCTTCTTACCTTGAAACGGCAAAACTCATTTGAGATTGGCGATATGTGAAAGAAAACTGACAATACACCATCAATACCAACAATCCTATAATATCCTTTGCTCTTTGTTGTCAAGGAAACACTGGAAACAGCTGTCAACGTGTTATTTAAATGCTCTGAGCAAGCCCCATTATTTAGCTGCCTTCACTGTCATCTCCCCAAACCTTCCTTTTATCTTACCTCGCCATGTTTGATGGGTTTGATGATGCCTCGTGTCACTGCCATGCGGAACAAAGTCTCAGTGGCCTGACAACAAGATTACACTGTCACTTATACATCATGCGGCAAGAAAGAGCAGATATATCACTTTCCGTGCAACAAACAATGTTTGAATGAATGGAGGAGCTCTTACAAGATTTGTCATATATATTGTCAGCAGCCCTCTCCTGATGGGGGAAGAAGGGAGACATAATGATTCTTAGTAATCACAGAATCAGTATTCACAAGGCCACACCTGATATTTGAGATGTATACAACAACTTCCCATGAAGTAAGTGCTCTTTTTGTGCAGTGGTGGCAAACATGTTACAGTTTAATATAACACTTGAGATGAAACAAAAGAAAAGTTTGGTGAAAAACAGGCCGGAGTCTCACCTGCTCTTACGCTCCAGGAGGATGGCAATATAGGATGCTGGCAGTGCTGCCCAAAACCCGGCAGACCAGGAGTAGAACCCTCCAAGAAGTTTCCTGAAGTAAGTAATATATTCAGCATTATTTATTTTCTTTTTTTCAACTTAAGTGTGAACTCAATCACACTATCAGCGCCGGTTTTCTGTTTTGGTCAGATCTTTCTTTTCCTTTTTTCAATCAAAAGGGGAAACATGATCTAAATGGCATGTTAAAAATACTTCTGTCTGTATTAAGTCTGAAATACACTGCTCAAAAAAATCAAGGGAACACTTAATCGCCACAGTATAAAACCAAGTCAGTTAAACGTCAGAGATATCAATCTGTCCATTTAGGAAGCACAAGTGATTGTGAATCAGATTCTCCTCCGTTGGTGCAAATGAAGGTGACAACAGGTGTAATGGAGAGGCAACACTAAGACAACACTCCAAAAGGAAATGGTTTTACATGTGGTGGTCACAGACATTTGCTCTCTCCTTATCCTTCCTGACTCTAGTTTTGTGTTCTGTTAGTGTCCTTGTCACTGCTGGTAGCATAAGGCGGAACCTGCAGCCCAAACGGGTTGCACAGGTAGTCCAGCTCCTCCAGGATGGCACATCCATACCTGCAGTCATAAAAAGGTTTGCTATGTCTCCCAGCACAGTCTCAAGTGTAGGGCATCAACCCAGAAGCAGGACCAGTATCTGCTCCTTTGTGCGAGGCAGAGAAACACCAGAATAGGCAGGTCTGCCACAGGCGCCCCATTCTCTTCACAGATGGGACCAGGTTCACACTGAGCACATGTAACAGACATGAAACAGTCTGGAGACGGTGTAGTGAACGTTATGCTGCCTGTAACATCATCCAGCATGACCAGTTTGGTGTGGGTCAGTGATGGTCTGGGGAGGCATATCCTTGGAGGGTCGCACAGACCTCTATGTCATTGCCAATGGTACCCTGACTGCTGTTAGGTACTGGGATGAAATCCTCAGAGCAACTGTCAGACCCGGGTTCCTCCTGGTGCAGGACAATGTTCGGCCTCATGTGGCCAGAGTGTGTAGGCAGTTCCTGGATGATGAAGGCATTGATGCCAATGACTGGCCCTCTCCTTCCCCCTGACCTAAATCCAAGTGAGCACCTATGGGACCTTATGTATTGGTGCATCTGATGCTGCCAAGCACAGCCACACACTGTCCAGAAGCTCACTGATGCCCTGATCCAGGTCTGAAAGGAGATCCCCCAGGACACTATCCGCTGATTCATCAGGAGCATGCCCAGCCATTGTTGGGAGTGTGTACAGGCATGCCGGGGCCATACACACTACTGAGTCACATTATGAGTTGCCGTGATTAAGTTCATGCAAGTTGAACCAGCCTGTGATTTCATTTTTCCTTTGATTTTCAGTGTAATTTTGAATTAAAGTAAGTAAAGATTTTCAACTAGAATAATGCGTTCATCAAGATCTGATATGAGATTTAAGTATTCCCTTAATTTTTTGAGCCGTGTATGTGCAGCACTTTGAGCTTAAACGTACCCTGTGGAGTTCAAGAATAACCACAAGTTTTGTGAATGCATCTTACATGATTGTGAGGCTAATATGTTGACAAAATCTGTCGAAATATAGACAGACAGACATATAAACACCAGGCATAACACTCTAAGCCACTTCTGTGGTAATTCTCACTATGGCTGGTGTCTACAGGAACGTGTTTGGCCATGATGCCACACACACACACACACACACACACACACACACACACACACACACACACTTACAAGGTGAAAACAATGCCAGCTGTTGCGACATTGTCACAGCCGGTAAATATAGCTTTTGTTTAAGTCAATTCAATTCATTCTTTATTTCAGACCCAAGGGGACCCATATGGCAATAAAAAAAACCACAGTAAAAAAAAACAGCAGAGTAAAAATAAGAAAGAACAATAACACACAAGATACACAAAATACAAAGCCTTCCACAATGTTCAATGTCTAACATACAGACACGTTGGCCAATGGTTCCACAGTCTGGAAGAAAATCTGACAGAACTGCGTACAGGGTTAGCCAAAACAGCGATTAAGTCGTTTTCTGACTCAGTAAACATGTTTATTTTGTGCTGCAGCAAAACCTGAATGTTCCCTCTGGGGATCAATAAAGGCTAATCTTATCTCATCTTTACAAGAAAACTCCATAGGGCACATTTCAGCAACTCTGAAAACAGGGGGAAAACAGACCCTGAGATAATATTGACTAAACTATTTAAGATTGCATCAGTTTAGCTTTAGAAACCCTTGCATCTCAAGTTAAGGTGAGTTGTGTAACTGACAAGTACATGTGTGACATTTGTTGGATCTGCTGACCTGAGGACGCAGAAGAAAACAATGTAGAGACCTCCATTGGCAGTGAGGAAAGAGGTAGACCACAGGATCTCTGGGAGAAGCCTTTTTATATAGTAATCCTTCTTTCTTCTCCTTAGAACAGCTGCTATCTGAAACACACGCAGTCAAGTGGCTGTCACTGTTGCAGATGTTCACATTTGGTTGCCAAATCATTGCATGAGAGTTGAGGTAACTTAACAATGGTTCTGCATTTGTATTAAACTTCCCCGGTGAAGCTGATAATGGTCTGAACAGTGAAGAATGTGCACAATGCACCGGAAACTAGCCAAACGAGTTTACTCTGGAATCTTCCTGCATTAACTTATCAGATGGTTCCTACTTGACTCACGTTTCTGTTTATGAGCCGGTTACTCGTGAATGTGTTATGATGGGTTTTCAAAGGGCACCGTGGTGCGTTCAATGATTCTTACCTCCTTCACAGAGTGTGCCTTCACATAAACTTGAACTTAGTCCCCGAGTGTGAGCTCAAGTTAATCTTCACGTCGTTTTCTCAGAACTAGTTAGCCCTACTTGGTTTAGCTAGCTAACTTTAGCTTCAGAGTCTACAAGTGCACATACTGTAGGTCAAGTAGCGAAACTTACCAGGTAAAGAGGGGCGTATATTTTGAAGGAGACCTCCAGAGCACCCCTGGCTACGTCCGCAGCAGACTGCACACACGACGGGTCCCAGGTGTGACCGATTTCGTAGCAGTTGTGTGGTATTTTGCTGAGAGCAGCCATGTCCGTACCATGGGCTACCACAAGCAGGGAGGCGGCAACGCGCTGCCGTGCGCGTTCACTCTGAGGGGAGCGCGTGCGGCGAGGTCACGCAAAAGAGGTGTGCACGTGCACGACGCCGTCGGGACTGGAACAAAGAGCATGGATACCAAGAGGCGAAGCTCAATGGAACGCCCCATAGCAACAAACTCCCCCATGGTTTCGTCCTACCGCCGCCATTTTGGACCGTCAGCAGACCGCAGCAGACCCGCTTGCATACAAAAACACACAGACAAACTGAAGTATATCGCTATTAATTATGCTTACAATGCTACTCACCTCGTGATAGCTTGGTCACAGCTGCTTTTTCACGTTTTTTGTAAAGCAAAATATAGACTTAAAAAAAAAAAAAAACGAGGAAAAACGGCCGAGATGGCATCTCTACATATTACATCCACTTATGAGAAGATTTACATATTACATCCACTTATGAGAAGATTAACTTAATAACTCCTTCAAATAAGCCATCATAAGCCAATCTACCAAAAAATAAATAAATAATAAAAAAAAATATCAATATTTTAACTAGAAACACATTAATGGCGACGTCACATAGTCAGGGTTAGGGTTAGGGTTAGAGATTTATTTATTTACAGTTTGTACAATAAGGGGACAGTAATAATAATAATAATAATAATAAATAAGCTATTTTAATATGATATATTTTAATGCTAAAGCAGTAATCACTTCTGATATGAATGGTCCAAGAGGCCATATATAGGCCTATATATACATATATCTTCCCACGAAAACTGAAACTGGCATATTAAATTGATATTAAAACACTTTAAAACCTACACCTCTGTCGGGATCCTTCGGGAAACGGTGGAAGGCCAGGACAAGCTCAACAGNTAAAGCAGTAATCAGTTCTGATATAAATGGTCCAAGAGGCCATATATAGGCCTATATATATATACATATATCTTCCCACGAAAACTGGCATATTAAATTGATATTAAAACACTTTAAAACCTACACCTCTGTCGGGATCCTTCGGGAAACGGTGGAAGGCCAGGACAAGCTCAACAGTCCAAAATGGCGTTAGCGCCCCTAGTGGCTGTTGGCAGAAATTCAACGGAGCTTCGCCTCTTGGTATCCATGCTCTTTGACTGGACCATAGGGTGGACTCTAAATGTATTATTAGTCAGTGGTTTATTGAAGATCTGTGAATTGTTATGTGAATAAACTGTTTTTATTAGGTTTTTCCACATATTTCACACACACAGACAACAAAGCAAATATCCACAATGTCTCACATATTTAAAGATAGAGAAATAAATTAATAACAAAAACATATCAGACTAAAGAAGGACAATATGAAAGACAATAACAACATTAATACACTCTACACACAACTATTTCATAGTGGTTGTTTACCCTGATGTCCAATAAATTCCAATAAAGATTTCCACATTTTTTCAACTTCTCCTGCCCTTCCTCTGGTTATATAAGTCAGTCTTTCCAATACCACACAAAATGAATCAACACTGATTTAAACAGTAATTTATTTAGGGACTGTTCATTACTTATGAGTAATTTTTCATCAAAATTGCTCATTCTACACACACTCAAAAATGGAAGTACCAGTGTGTACCTAAAAGGGTACAAATGCTTGTCACTGGGTGGTACTGTTTTGAAAGACAATTGTGTACCCTTTAGTACTGGTCCATTTTTGTACCTTACCAAACTGTACCAATTAAAGTACAATTATGTACCTTGCTAGACATATAAGCATATTTAAACTACAGTATAGCAACATATCCGTTAAAAGAGTTCTATAATGTACTTATAAGGGTACCAACCCAGTGATGGGCTGTCCAGATGTAAATGTACCAGAATTGTCCACACAATACTTGCTTCTTGTCAGTTAATTAAAAGATCAACATAAAAAGTTAATTAAAGCAAATATTTTTTTCACATAAGAACCCACCTCAACATATTGAGGCAGAACACTTTAAGGTAACAAGCATATTTAGATAGAACAAGGGATGCAAAATATATATCAGTACTGATGAATTAATCAGAAAATACAAAATAAATTAAAATTATAGCTTATTTTACCAGTATCTGCCATGAGAAACAACCACTTATCTGTAATTGCTATGGGCTGAAAACAATTCCATATCATGCATCTTTAGATAGCACATGTTTAAACAGAATACCTCAAGGAAACAAACAGTCTATCATCAACTAAATATGCATGTCTCATTTAACCTCATTTGCTTGCATTTGCTTGTCCTGGAGGCTCAAGGAAAAATATTTATAACTTTGGGGAGGGTCAAAATAAAAACAAAAAATAAAAAAAACCCTCCCCCACCCCCTCCTCTGATAAGTAAAGAACAGTCCCTTATTCAGCTAATCATCAATGGTCCTATCATATGTCCCCGAAACATAGGGACAACTGAATTTGAAATGATGAGTGTACAGGTATTTTTGAAAACACTATGAATAAATGTAGAATGGCCACAGCTCCGTGCCATGAATTAAATTCTCACAAACTATTACTTAAATCCATTAACTTTAATTCATGAATGTTTACTTGGAACATAGATTCAGCCTTCAAAATGCCTCCAGTACCAGTTCTCTAAACTTCAGCTCTCAAAATGGAAAATTAAAGAGACAAAGAGAGGCCCAAAACCAGAATAAGCTAAACTGGTATGAAAGAAATGGTTAAACGTGACAAGATACAAGAGATTCTTTGCTGCAATGTTCACTTCTCTCACCATGGATATAACTTAAGACAGATAGGCTATGTAAATCTCCCTAAATCTTCAACTAAATGCCTAAATCTGGAATCAAATTAGTCTACCCTTAATCTGCCCAAAATGGTAACCATCACTGCAAAAAAGTGTGCCAGGTCCTGCTGGTGCTCAAATGGAGACTTGTGACACTAGCATGATTTTGCCAGTGTTTGGTGGTAGTGTAGCTACTACACACTAAATCTGGATTATTTTGTACCATAAAATAACATCACAAACATGACAGAGCCACACAGGAACTTGAGAATGGCATGGTGATTTTACAGTTTAGATTGAGATGAGCTGCAAATCATTACCATAAATAAATGTAAATAATATAGAAATTAGCCAGCAGGCATCAAACTGAATGTATAGAGGTTTCCGGCCTACAGTAAAGCACTGGGCTGTGGCCTAACTAAGAATAAATTACAGGTGAGTTTATGGAACAATGTGCTTCTTTATGGATGTGGATTGGAGGGGATGGTGGAGCAGCATGGTGATGAAAGACAAAAAAACCTGTGACCTTCAAGCACTTAGGAGAGAAATAATGATAAAAGACTAATTCAAGTTTTAATTGGTTTGAAAGGCTCAGTACATGGCATACATATTTTAATTTTCGGGCATACAAGAATATAAGGCACATGTTTTTTATGATATGGAGGTGGACTCCAGTACCTGAAGAAAAATTAACAAATAAGTCTAGAAGGAAAGAGAACAAAACAGACTCACAAACAAAACCATGTCACACACATGTCCTTATACATCACTCTACAGAGTCACATAATCACAGAGCAAGTTTACAATCAATACACTTGTTTTTACACCATATCACAACTGTGCTTGGGGTGCAGGTTGTAGCCTACTCAGAGATCTGTGCAAGCTAAAGGGTCACACTCACCTACTCAAATGAGGGGAACAAAGACCAAAGCAATCAGAGTGTGGTTATGCTGTCTGTATATCACTAATGTGACAAGCATTTACTTTGTAAAGGCAGAACCATCAGTTCACCTATTGGTCTCTACAGTTGTACTGCTCAGAGTTGGCCAGCAGGTGTCAGCCTCATCCCTTTGATGGCTAAGCAAGACACAAAGCTTCAAAGGTGCAGGGATGTATGTGTTGAATGTGCAGTAACAGGATGTGATGACTCAAATTTGGCTCAAGTAGTATTATCTTGGTCAAACAAGAACACCGCTAAAAGAGTTTGTAAACTGCAAGTGACTTTATGCATGGTTAATAAATCATTTGACAATGATTTATGGATCAGGTATAAGTCACATGAACATCTTTGTCCACTGGCAGCTGCTTTATCCCCCAGCAGGATACTCTGCCAAAAAGTGAACAATCTGTACCAAAATCCATGTATTAACTTCACTTGATGCACTTATATAAGAATAAAACTTACAAATATTATTAATTCATGGATTATCAGCATTTATAACTCCATTAGCAAGATGATAAACACCAGCCAGAGAGAGTTTTGACAACCTGGAGACCCAAGTTGAGCTTATTAATGGGCTCACAGGCCTTGTAAACAACTTATTAGCCACTAATAGATCCACTAGGTCCAACTTGGTGACTTGTCAGAGAGTGCTGCCAAGTTGTTGATTTATGATTTAAAACTAAATAATTAGATGTTCATAATGTGAAAGTCACAGACAGCAGCTGACTATCCTGCACACTCATCACCTCTGGAAAGGTGACAGTCAATTCAGGCGACCCACTGTGCTTGAGTCTGCATTTTGACATAAGTGGATCAATTATCTTAATTTCCCGGAAGGCAGTTTCAATGACATTTTATAATAATTAACGCGAGAACACTGAGTGGTTATTATCCGTGTACTCTGATATCTCCGCAGGAGGCGGTAACACCGCGGTCGCTGTCTGGCTGAATAGACCAACTGTTTTCCCTTGCAGTTTCATAAGTGCTGCAGCCCCAACAGCACACTGTTAGTGCGCGCTCGCATGGGAGAGTCAGCAGAGGTTTCCGTTTGTTCCTCTTGAACCAAAATCCGCTACAAACGCAGCCCTGCATCAAACGGAGCGATCAGCTGAACATGACACGGACTTTGGGGCTGTTGGCGAGTTGTTTGCTGTTTCTTCTCTGCCCCGGTGCGGACGGCAAGCGCAGCAGGGAGCGAGTTTACTATGTGGGGATCATTGAGGACTCGTGGGATTACGCACCAAGTGGAAAAAACCTGATTAACGGCCAAAACGTCGAAAATGATGAGTGAGTTGTGATGCTGTCAAGTTATTTAGAGATTAGTGATCGCAATCAAAGTAATGTCATCATATATGATCACTAAAATTCACACATACGAGATTACTAACAGATGTA